CCCCCCCTGGACACGAGGCCCCATGAGTCTGTGTGTATTCAGGTTTAAGTCCCCACCAGAATAGAAAAACAGGTGCACACATCACACACACACACACACACACACACACACACACACACACATACTTGTATTTGTGGTTTACGGGGACTCTCCATAGGCGTAATGGTTTTTATGCTGTACAAACTGTATTTTCTATTGCCCTACACCAACCCTACACCTCACAGGAAACTGCTGTCAATTTTTGAATTTCATAAAACACAGTTTTGTATGTTTTTTAAGCCTTTTGTTTTACGGGGACACAGGAAGTGTCCTCATAAACCATGTTTACATTGTAGTACCCATGTCATTATACACATTTGTGTCCTCATAAACCATATATACCTGTACACACACACACACACACACACACACACACACACGCACGCACACACTTTTTCTCATGATTAATCAAAGAATTTGGATGGTTAAGAATTTGGGTGACAAACATCTATATTGTTAATGTATATTTTATTAAAACAATGTAGTTGAACTTTTCTAAGTAATTATAAGGACATTTCTAATGCATTACAATATAAAAAAAAAAAAAAAAAAAAACATACCTGACCTATATAACATGGGCTATGTACAGTGAGAGCACAAGTGCAAAGATGGACATTACTGAATAAGAGACTGCAACTGAGCAAATTTCCTGAAAAAAAAACAAAAACAAAAAACAAACACACCAGTTAGTCATTAGGGATGAGCTCAATATAGGGATTTCCAATGGCAATCAAAGGTGCAGAAACTTCTTAAATCGTTTCCTCGTAGTATTGTTTTTTTTTGTAATAGGTCAGTTTGACATATTGACATAAAGTCAGTTGACATATTAACAAGACCAAATAGATTGGCTTATAAAGATTACAGTATTTACTGTCTGACACGGATTGTTTTAGTTTCATGTTTCCAGGCAGTGAAGTGGTTCAGATTGATTTATATAGAGACAAAAGTGCACAGTTTCCACACGTTGTACAAACACAATCCTTTGAACAATATGAAAGAATAATACAATAAAAATTAAGATCCTCATATAAATAAAGCAGTTAAAAATAACTATTTTAAGATACAAACTAGCTTGTGTACATTTCTTTTATATGATGAATGAATGTGTTGTCTGTCGGCGTTCAGGGGAACTCCGGCTGGCCGTGACACTCACAGTGTTTTGGACAAACGTATCCGCCGCGCTGCTCTTCTCTGGACTTTCTCCTGTCTGATCTGGGCCGGTCCTGCTCGTTGTTGCAGCGATGCACCAGAACCGGCTCTTTCTCGGCTGGAGATTTTTTCATCAGCAGTCTCTGGAGAATGCGTTTGTCTGAGCGCTCCTTCTGGAAATCATCCTCGTACACCTTCAGCTGAGAAAACAAGACTTTATCATTAAAACCAGTCATAAGGGTAAATTTAAAAAAAATGCAAAAAAAAAATCAAAATATTGAGAAAATCATCTTTAAAGTTGTCCAAATGAAGTTCTTAGCAATGCATATATTACTAATCAAAAATTAAGTTTTGATATATTTATGGTAGGAAATTTACAAAATATCTTC